GATCTCGCCCTCTTTCCACCCTCAGGTCCAACTCTCTCCAACAATGGCATGATTTCTTCCGTCAGCGCGACGGCAGTATGTACGGTCTCAACTGATTCAACTGTTTTCGTTTTTAGAATTATTTTTCCAGGCAGATTCAGTTAGGAGGCTCTCATGGCCTAGAGATTAAGGTGTTGGCCCCTCATTCAAAAGGTCCTGGGTTCGAATCCGGGTAGCGACCGAAAACTTTTCTTCTCTAAAATTGAATCTTTTCACCTCATTTCCTGCTTTCTAGCAATGTTCTGTCGTCTGCTTTCGTCTCCACTTTCTGCCCCCACTCCCTCACCTCCTTTGCCCCCTCCTCTGGGCTCCTGATTCTATCTGCAGCCTTTCTACTGCTACTCCTTCGCTTCTTCTTACTGCTGTCTTTCAGCCACACCCCTGATCTTCTGGTAGGAAAGATCTAAACTTAGCCCTCTCGGACAAGGGCGAAAAATATCGGAGGGCCCGTATGCAAGTTGCGCACGTTAAAGAAACCTTAGTGGTCTAAAATCGATACGAGTAGGCTTCGGTCACCACGCGGGCAAAATTCAAAAATTTCTTACCTACTGAAAATATTAGATGTGCCCCGCGCGCTCCTATGACCTTATGCAGTTGCGAGCGCCGTAAAACACCTAGCAAAAACAAACAAAAGATTGAGTTACACGTTTACATGACAAAGCCATTTACCACAGGTAGCAGTGGAATCCTGTATTGCATCTTTCAGGACTGAATGAGTCAATCGTTTGTCTTTGACACACAGTAAAGTTGTTCCCGCATCCGATCCGGACATTGGGGATTGCCTTGCTAGTGAGACAACTTCCTGGGCCTTCGGCATATTGTGGTAGGGTGGCCAGTTCCTTTCCACGCCGCCTTTACTTCCCCGACTCGAAGTCAGGTACCCATTACTGCTGGGTGTGCAGAAGGGGGCGAAAAAAATCCGAGCCGAAACCGAGCCTCGAACCTGGACTTTCCACTTCCGAGACGAGCGCACTAAATGCTTTGCCACCGCACGCTCATGCCTTTGACATACCTGCGTAGATTCTTCGGTTCTCGTCCTGGATGTGTCTGTACTGTCTCTCATATTTCTCCGGCACCTGTAGCGGGCCGTGGACAGACTGGTAGGCCAGGTACAGGAACAACGGCTGGGGATGTACAATGTACCATACTGTGTGTTTTGAATACATACTAACTTGAAGGAAGGAATGTATGAAAAAAATCAAGTTTAAGATAAGAATATTAATACCAGGTACCTTATATATACTCTCTCTTCTGACTC